GCCCACTGTCGAGGCGCCGAGTACGAAAACGCTCGCCGCGCCCAGACAGGTTGTCCTCGTCCTGGCTTCGTCTCCGCGCGGCGGGGCGGGCAGGCTGCGGTCGTGGCCGCGAGCCGCTGCCAGGGGCGGACGCTCGAGGGCCCTGCGCTGCCACCTCTCTGGCCGGCGGAGGTATGGGGGGGCTGCGGGGCGAAGGGGCCAGTCCGAAGTCGGGCCTGTCCCTCTGAAGGAGGAACGTTCAGAAATAGTCTTAAAACATGTCTGGAGACGATGTTTTGATTATTGTTGAGTACTTAGGAATATTTGTCGGCAACCTTTTCGTTTTTCTACAACATCCGCCTGTAGGAGGTCATGCCCGACTTCAGGCCAGTCTAGGGCTCCCAGATGGGGTCCAGGTAGAATCGAGCATATGCTTACAGTCGCCCCGCATAGTAAGGAATCGGCAACCCTCCCAAGAGACCTCCCCTTGCATCCTTGCCCCGTCGGCCCATCCTTGGCGAATCTCGTCGGCCAGCTTCGTCGTTCGAGAAACGTTCACATGGGCATCACTGGCCCTTGCATCCTTACCGCGCATCCTCATGGTACGGGTTGACTGTAGAGTCGAGCATCTGATTATGGAAGCTCCTTCCGAAAAGCTGGGCCAGCGTTTCTGAATGCACTTGCTGGAGAGCTGGCCCAGTTCCCTGAGCACGTTCGCTCCCGCAGCGCTTCACGGCAGAAATTGGCAGAGGTTCTTGCTAAGAGGTTTCCTGCAAGTTGGCCCAGATGTTTTTAATTATGTGTTTGTGGGTGATATGTTCGGCTGTAGATGGGGTCGGAGGATCGCCGATGCATCGGCGATGCGGTTCGATGTGGAGCCGGATTTTCTTCACGCCGATATCGCCGATGCATCAGTTGCTAAGAGATTTCCTGGAAGCTGGCCAATATGTCTTAAACTATGCGTTTCTCGATCATGGTTTCGGCTGTAGATTGGGTCGGGGGATCACCGATGCATCGCCGATGCATCGGCGATGCGGTTCGATGTGGATCCGGATTTTCTTCACGCCTGCATCGCTGATGCATCGGCGATGCGGTGCAAGCCTCTTGCCCCATATACTCGGACCCCATCTGAGAGGCCTCGAGGCACTGGAGGGGAGGGGAGGGGTGGGGGAGGGGAGGGGAGGGGAACGAGGGGGAACGAGGGGGAAAGGGAGGGATGGTGAGGAGGAGGAGGGCCAGGCAGCCTTGCTCCCTGCGTCTGCTTCGCTCGTTCACCTTGTCACCCACCCTCAGCCGGTCTCGTGCATGGGTGCTGCTTCGAACCCACGGGCACGTTTGTCTCGCAGGGACGTGCGCAGGAGCGGGAGGCGGATGGGGACGCGGATGAAGACGAGGGGAGGTGTTCTGGAGCATCCGCTGACCACCCAAGATTGCCCAAGACGGCCCTGGGAGGATTATCCTGAATTCTCCTGGCTTGCACTGCAGGGTCAAACGATCTCGAGGCCCTAGTGGATGATTCCCACCTCGTAGTTGGACAAAGCGTTGTGCATTCGGAGTTAGCAAGAGGGCGCTCCTTTCCTGGCTGCGCTGGTAGAGTCATGCGCAATGGCTTTGGAAAGTTCAACGTTCCCGCTGTGGGCCGTTGAGGTACAATGGGTACGTGCCGTACTTCTGCATATCGAGCACAATGCAATCCAGTGTTTCGATTGACAGTGTACGGATGTGAAGAGCGAGTGCGAATAGCATCTGCCCTCGGGCCGGTGGGTCAGTGCACAACCATGCCCACTGCATATCCTGGAAATTGTTGGCGCAAGCCGCAACTCGTGACACACGTCACATACGTACAGGGCGGTCTTCGTGATGAACGGCGGCCGTGCGGCCCATCCATGTTCGCTTCGCCACAGCAGTATCAAGTATTGCGTTTGTCTTCTTGTCGGCCCTAGCATCACCTCGCCGACTGCAGCACTTGGCAGACCGATTCCGAGTCGTGCACGGGCGAGGGGGCACACCCAAATCACCTCCGCCAGCCTCTTGCGAGTCACACCCATCGTTCCCGCCCCGTCTGGGCAGCAGCAAATCAATAGGCGGAGCAACCGTGGTAGACGCTAACTAGGATAGTTTTGCAGATGAGATATGAAAGGGCAGCTCCTATCTGCAGCCCCTCCTAAGGAATGCAGTTGTGTTGTGATCCGCGGGGGCGTAGACCACGACGTGGAATACCGCCCTCCCCCGCATCGCCAGCGATGTTGTCCGACATGGTTCCCTTGGCCCCGTCCCTTCTGGGCGGTAGAGCATTAGTTTTCAGAGCAACAGTGGCAGGAGCTGGCCTCTAGATGTTGCAAGAGAAGGCAAGGGTGGAGGGCGCTTCCTTGGTGGACTCCTATGGGGGAGTCCCATGGTGAAGTCCTGGGATGCGATCCTCCTCTTAGGCCCCTATCAGAATCCAGCGAGTTGGGAGCCTGCTGGGACAATGTTGCAAACATCTTGATCGATTGGGCTCTCCTTGGATTCCAATTGGGGT